TAAAAGTATCGATCTCAAAAACATCGAAACCGATAATTATAATATATTAGGTAAATTTACAATGTAACTGATATAAATATATCGGTTTTATGATAAAATAGGTCAGCATAAAGTATCGACACTTGCTAAATTTGTGTCGATAATTTTGGTCCAGAATGAATACCAAAAAGGGTGCAACCATAAAGTGTCGATACATTTATAAAAAGTATCGATCCCAGAAACATCGAAACTCATAAGTATAATGTAATAGGTAAATTTTCAATGTAACTGGTATAAATATACCATTTTATGAGAGAATAGATCTAAATAATGTATCGACACGTTGTTAGTTTGTGTCGATACTTTTTTCCAGAATGAAATATGAATTCTCAACCAGGTGCAAGCATAAAGTGTCGATACATTTAAAATTGTATCGATCTATAAAACATCGTAACCGATAATAATAATGTAATAGATAAATTTACAATGTTACCGGTATAAATATACCGGTTTACTTCGAAAATAGGTCAATATAAGCGCTACCTATTACATTATATAAGAGCTACCTAATATGTTATTGTACTTGATAATATTTCCGGTTAAATGCTTATTTTATTATATAAGCGCTGCCTATTACATTATATAAGCGCTACCTAATATGTTATTATACTTGATAATATTTCCGGTTAAATGATATAACATTACCGGTCAAAATTTTAATCGGTCACTTGTTTAACCGATCATGCCGTTTTTTAACCGTTTTTAACCGCCGCACAGCAGAACTACCCTTGCAACACCCAAAACTCAAAACTCAATATCATCAGATGGGCTGGAGATATCATATTTTCACTTAGGGTCTGTTTGGAACGGGGAAAACATTTTACGGAAAATGTTTTCCCCGTTTTCGGGTGTTTGGTTCGCTGAAAACTCCAAGTCAATGTAAAATGTTTTACAGTCAATGGAAAACTAAGGTTTAAACACGGTATTTCAACTTGCCGTTTGGAAAAGGGTAAGTTGAAATCTAAATTTCTTGCGACCCTTGATCCACACAGAGAACATCGTAAATTCTTTCTCACGTCCCTTGCTCCACACTGATGATTGTTTAGAATCCTTCTCACCGGCGAGACAGACGGTCGTATTCTCAGGTATGTATCGTTTCTTCTTCTCCATTTTCTTTTTCCTTCCCTAATTTTCCATTTTTTTGAGTTTACTTCTCTCTCGCCCCTGCATTTTCTAGTACTTCCTCTCTACTCTGCTATTGATTCCTATTGCTATCCATTAAATCTGCTTGTATTCGACAATATTACAATTGTGTTTTCTGTCGATTAGCTTTTGATTAATTGCTTCTGATCTGAATAATGATTTAAATGCAACATGTTGTCTTTAATGGGTTATTAGATATTTAGGTAATTCGTGGAATTATGTTTGATTGTTTATGCGTTGTATAATCTTATTTATTCTGTACTGTTTCTATGGTTTTGTTGGAAAGCTGTGGTTACAGAGGTAAATTTGGGGTTTAGGAAAAGGTTTTATTTTGACTGTAAAGAATCTGTTTGTGGAATGCTATTTAGCGTGATTATTGTGGAGATTTGTAGCAATTGTAGGCTTTATTGATTCTTCACTGATTCTAGCTAAGCCCTCACATATAAAGGCCAGGAACAAAACAAATGCTTTACAATTTACATTAAAAATGGTCCTTAACACAAACAAACTATATGTGATTTTCTCATCAACAATTTACGGAGAATGTTTTCCCCGTTTTCGGGTGTTTGGTTTGTGTAAAACACCCGGGTTGAATTGATTTTCCTTGTTAAAAACTTGATTCCATTTCTTTCTCCTAGTTCTGTCATTTTTTGTTCCAATTTGATCAGATCCAAACGCAATGTTTCATGAATCTATTATAAGATGTGTTAAGGTCCACTTCTGTCGGCTTTGTGCTAGTCCTTTGCTTCCCTATATGAATGTAACAAAGTTAAATTATTTCCTTGTAATATGACAGTATTAGCAAGAGTTGTCTCACTTGTCAGGCTCTTAACACCTCCAGGTACTCTCAGCCTTGTTCTAAATAACTGAAAGGCGCATTTTTGTACCTACATCAATAGTTCACAAGGAACCAGCAAGGATAAATACCTGATATATTGGTAGTTCAGAGCTTAGCATCAATAATGGCAATTGTTTATACGGGAGTGAAGTAAAAGATGATGTCGGCTGTGAGAAAGTTGGTCGATCCCCTCCAGTGTTTATGCCAGATGACAGTGCGTTAAACCATGAGATATGACCATACGTTATTGTTTTAAGTTCTCTAAGATTTTAACATTTAGTGGAGAGAAACTTATTTCCAGGAATAACCGAGTATCAAAATCATTGTTCTACTATGAATGTAAAGCTAATTAGATTTGTTTACTGTTCAGCTTATAAAATTAATTTGTATTATTACGGTTGGATATTATTGTTGTTTTAATGTGATAAACCCTTTAATTATATATTTTGACACTATTATTATTATTACAATATTATGTATTATTGTTGTTTTAATTTGGTGTAGTAATTAAACAATTCTTAGGATTTATGAACTTTTATAATATATTTTTAATCGATTATTAATATTATCTAAAATACAGATTTTTATAAAATATAATTATATATAAAAAATAACCTTTAAAAATAATAAATACTAAAACATATCCAATATGTATAACTTCTTTATTAAAAACAGATTCTGAAAACTGTTTTCAGAAAAATTAACCAAACAGTGTAAAACATTTTACATTGTATCATCCAAACATTGAAAAACGTTTTCTGGAAAATGATTTACATTCAGATTTCATTTTCCGGAAAACATTTTCAGTGAAACAAACGGACCCTTATTAATAGTATTGTATTCAAATAAGATGTTGGAAATCCTACTGCAAGAGTAATCTTCAAACAAGCTCAAGTACTAATTAACTTGAAAATAAATATCCAAATGAGCTTTACAAAACTTAGTAATTTATCGTTAATTTATGTACACATTTCGGTAATATATCGTCAATCTAATGCACACATTATGAATTAGATAAATATAATCATATTTACACATTATGAATTAGAAAAAAAAAATATAATCATGCTAGTAGAATGAGCAGTAATTACATGCTTGATTCATTAACTAAGAAACTATATATTTAAGGTTGATTAACCTAAATTTCACAATAATATTAGGCCTATGGACTAGTTGGGGTTATAAAAATGATTAAATTATAAATCAATGATCTAATTTACTTAATGAGAGTTTTTATGAGGATTATATTTTTTAAAATATTTTGGATTGATTAGAAGAAATTTTTTATGTTTATTGACAATTGGTACAATTATTAGAACTCAAACTTTTACAAATAACAATATCTTTTTTACCATTGAAATCACTTTTCAAGCCATTTTGCCCACATAATCACTTTTCAAACAGAGTTGGTTGCCAGGTACTCTGGGTGACCTGTACAGGTTGCCATGTCGTCCATGCGCATCTAAGAAAGGTCGCCAAGCAATTCAAGGGTTCATTTCCTTTATATTCTTCTTAACTTTCTTCCCTTATGGAAGTTGAAGCTTACTGATTCTTCACTTTTTCAATCCTAATCTCTCTTTTTTATCTGTTGTTTCGTTCACTAGTCAAGCCGAAGCTATGGTGCAACTGTGAGATTTACAGTGCTTATCTGAGTTTGAATTTGACAAAACAATTTCATAATCTTTGCGATTGGTACACTCACTTGCTGAAGAACTCGCCTTCACCTCTGCTCCCATGCTGCATGGTAAACCAGAATGGCAGCTTTCTAGCAGCAATAAGTACGAACCCATTTCAACAAATAAGCACGACGCTCGGACGACATGGCGACCTGCAGAGGTCGCCTGAAACACCTGGCGACTAGTCCTTTTACTGTAGAAATCACGCTATTTCAGCAAAAATAAATGATCAAATGCAATATGTGAAGAATTTTTTTTTTCAAAGCATCACGAGAAGAATTTTGCCCACTTTTCAATTCATTGAATTATACCCGAGTGATAAGATCACTCAATATATGAATTGAATTAGACCTAAGTGGTAACTGGCGTGGCAGAAGATAAGGATAGATGAATGACTTAATTAACAAATGAAGAGGGTAGGTGGGGAAGGCATGGGCAGCTCCCTCAACCTCCTACACCATTGTTGTGGGGCACAAACAATCTCCACCTAACCCAGTTAACGATGAGGCATAAACAATCCAAACTACACTTATGGGTCATCTCCCCCCACAGCTGTCTTTCAGATATAAGTACCCACCTACGGAACACTCTAAATATCAACAGCTACTGTAATAACCAAAGCTTCTAAATCTTAACCGTAAATATCATAAAAGTTTATGATTCTTCATCCTAATTCAAGATAATAGTTTATTTGAATTTGATTTAGAGGAACAGGCATGGTTATGGTTTTGTGAATAATGAATTCATTTTACAATATAGACAACGTGGTGGGTGGACAATATGTTTTTTAAAGTCAACCAAACGTTTTTCACCGCAAAAAACATCCATATAGTATCTGGCAAATAAAACGAATCCCCTGAACCTCAGAATCCTTCATCTCTCTCTCCTCTACAAAGATGATGTCGCCGGAGCCACCTTAGTTCCTGCATGTTCTCCGCGTGTTCCTCTCAGTTTTACGCTCAGGCGTCATGCGGTCTTCAAATCCATTCCAAGACCCAGAATATCGTGATTACCCTGTTAGGTTAACCACGTAGGTTACATGATGTATATTTTACTCTGTGGACTTGACAGAAATGAGATATGCTTTCAATAGTTCAGAAAATTTTACTACATAAATTAAAATTTAAAGGAAGATAATCATCATCAGCATCATCATGATATATATAAACTCAAACGAACTTAATAATCTGAATTTGAAAATGATAAATCGAGGGCTTGAAGCAATAATCAGATCAGCAATCACACATATATATACACTTTGGAGATCAGATATTCAGATAGATATATATAGGTACGCCTGTTCCATCACTGTATTCACACATGCAATTCTCTCCTGTTGTTGTTCGTCTTCATCCTCCTATCTACATCAACAGTTCATTCACCCACCCAAGATCGGGATCAGAATCACAGCCCACGACGTTTTCATTGCTCCTCTCATCACCACCGAAAGACTTCGAGGTTGCACCAAAATGTTCTCCGGTGAAAGGGGAAGACCAGGGAAAGTCTGCTGTAGTCGAGTTGTTGTTCCCGCCTGCGGCAATAGGTGAAGAGGCTTCACAGAAATTCATGTTCTCCAAAGAGCTCATCAGCTCGTTAAGCACTTGCTGCTGGTAACTCGTCGTTTCGGTTCCAAGCTTACTCAAGCGATCACTGTACCTAGAGATGGGTGAAAACCCATTTAAAGATGTCCGCTGCTTCACAGGAGACAATGGCGGTGACAAAGATGGCGATCTCGATAAATGAGACCAACCCATGAGCGTGCTAGTGGGAGAGGAAGTAGCAGAGTGGCAAAACAAGCAGCAATGGTTATTCCCGCTCAACGGGGAAGAGCTGCAAGAGGCTGATTTCTTGTACTTTGGAGATCCCTCAGCTGGCAAGAGACGTAGCTCGCGAGAAGAGTGAGCGAAAAAGCAAACCTTGCGCTTGCAGTTATTGCCATCCTTACAAGCCTCAGTTCTGTAGCGGGTAGGGTGTAGCCAGCACTCGAACACCCCATGCGCGAAATCACAATCATCCCCACGAGGACATCCGTCTTCGCGACGGAAGTCGGAGCAGACGGTGGAGGAGTAACGGTAACGAAGAGGATCGCGGCGGCGAGCCTTCTCTCCGGGATGAGCGAAGGGGCAGTCAGTCCAATCGTGGCTCCTGCTCCTAGTGCATCTCCTCACCTTGAACTCATACATGCGGAAATGGTCAGCAGCATAGGGATCACCGTCATTTTCTTCATCTTCATCGACATTCTTGTTGGAAAGAAGATACTTCTCGATTGCAGCCTCATAGGGAGAAAGTTGCATGGCGGTATGATTGTGTGGAAGGAGGAGTTTCCTCGGAGGAATCTCGATATCTTTCATGGGCAGCACATTGTTAGAAGCCAGGAACTTGAGTTGTTGCTCAGCACAAGCGGTGCTCATATTTCAGAATGAATAGGGAAGAAGAAAGGAATATTGGTTTTAGGTCTCGATGTGGGAAAGAGAGAGCATGAAGTTGAGCGATGATGGAACAAAAGGGGTGGCATAGATATATAGGGGCCGAGTGGCTTTAAGTGGGGAGAAAGAGAAGGTGACAAGGTATGGGCAAATAGCTGCGTGGCTGCATAGCATTAGGGATGAACATGCAAAAAGCCATATGTGGCAACTTCACAGCGCAAAATAGGCAACATTTTGCTATGTGTCGGTTTATTATTCAGAAATCTGAGTATCTGAGTGGGTTTTGGATTTTACTTTTTTTGGGGTTTTTTTTTTAGCTGACAAATCATACATTGACCCTCCTCATGGTTTTGGAATCTTGGGATCAAAGACTCCAACATGTGACATCTCATTGTCAATTTAATCCACCATGAAGCATGAGGTGGAAAATTTATTTATGGTTAACTGGTTTGGAGCAGGTATCAAATAGGTAAAATCTTTACGAGATATGACCTTTTAATGTATCAAAAGAAATAAAAGAGGGGCCTTTTAAAATCAACAATAGAGACCAAGTACATGCTTTTGAAGTCCGCTAACTTTTTATTATAGATGCTCCTTTTCAATCAAGACAAGGTATAAGTGGAAAGCTTCTGGCAGTGGTTGCCAGAAATATTTTTCAGTGAAAAAGGGAGTTACTATACTTACATTTACCTCATCGTCCAATTCAAACTTCAGTATTTACTATTTTTTTTTCTTCTCATTTCAAGGACAGAGACTTGTAGTTTCAAAAAAAAAAAAAATGGTGTACCTTCTTCAAAGCTCATCGGAGTACCTAGACAGGGGATAGTTGAACGAGATCCAACAACTATAACTTATAGTTAGAACTCTGTTTTCATGTGCTAATTATCTGTTTATTTTTCATTTGCTAATTGTTCTCTGTAATTCTTTACGTAGATATTGTTCAAGATTATGGAAAACACTACTTTAACCCTAAGCAGCATGAAAATCAAGATGGTGACTCCACCTGAAGATTAAGGTACATACACTGTGTGTATGGAGGTTACATTTTATCATCTCTGAATACTTTCCAACATGTATTTTCTATCTCTTGTAGCCAAAAATGAAGGAGGCTGAAGTTATATTGCTTTTAGATTTGCATGTTCAAGGCTAGAATTACACAGAGAAAGAAACTTTTAAAGCTAAGTATATTGAATTGGAGAATGCAAGCAATCACCCCATTCTCCTATATCGACTATTTCCTTTCCGAGCTGAATAATGATAAAATCTCACTAATAAGTTGAATATTGATATCAATCTAATTAGTCTCAAGCACAATAAAAGGTCTCCTACTTTCTTTGTTCTCCAAAGTGGTAAAAAGATATATTTACTGTTTTTTACGAGAGGAAAATTGAATGCAAAATAAAAACAATGTCTTACTTTTCAGCAAAACAATCTTAACTTTCAAGATTTTGATCAATTGTTTTTTGTCTTAAAATTTTTAGATTCCCAACCTTTTTTCCTCGATGTTTATATTAGTGAAACAGTGTGAGATGATGGGGATAATGAAGTCCAAATTAATTCATTTTTATTTTTTAACAATTCTTTGATCGTTTGATGACATGCTAATGTATTTGTGATTATTGCCGATTCTTAATTTTTTCATTTCCATAAATTTTATTACGTAAAAGCATAATTTTCAAAAAGATAACATACTAAAACAAATAGAAATAACTTCATAACTAACAAAAACATTATATTTATAAGATAATCAACATAGGGTTAAAAATTAAATTCTAATAATAATAAAATTAACTTAATGAAAAAAGATAAAAAAAAAATTAATAAAATTTATAATGTAGGTATGTTTCACTAAAAAAATATTTCAAAAAATATTTTCAATAAAATTTACCAAATACTAAAAAATAATTTCTAGAATCTATTTTTCAAAAATTTACCAATCTCGTTTTTTTTTTTCCAAACAAAAATATTCTACTAAATTTACCGTTCAAAGCACTTTAAATCCGACTCCGATTTGTTAATTTATCCCTTATCTAATCCACTCTGAATCCAATTTCAAAAAATCCGATGCTGTCGGGTTGGGTTGAAATGTATCGGGTTCAGTTATTTTCAACCCTAGGCCCAACGGCACCTGCCCATGATCAAACGAATTTGAAAAAGCAAAGGTTTCCCTCTCAAACAGTCCATCTTTTCCTAAATTCAAACAGGGGAGAAAACTATGGTTGCTATTCCGACGGAGTCGAACATTTCCTCTTATGCCAACGACCCTCTCTTCCCATGGCTACAGTATTCTTCTTTCATTTGTTCTCTTACAGTTTTATATGTTTATATCAATTGTTTGCTTTGAATTTCTTCCCTAACTTGTTGCAAATCCAGGTCGATAAAGAAGGAACTGGACGACTGGTACTCGGGGAACCGCACTGGTGGAGATCTCGACAATCTGTTATCAGATTGTATCTCCACTTTCAAGCAAAACACCCAATACAGAAACGACCTTAGATTTCTGAAGATTTGGTTCATCTATGTAATCATATCTTCTCACTCCTGTGCTTTACTTTTGGTTCTGAAATTTTAACATTTTGCTTGAATTGGAGTTTTCTTTCGGGATGTTGCTACGATTGATTGAGGTTCATAGCCAAATTATTTGATGGGTTTGACTTTATTTTTTTTATGATTTTATATGGTTCGAGCTTAAATGCTTTATATGGAGAGACAGAGATTTAGACATTTTCTCAACTTGTGGAATCATGTTTAAGCTGGGTATTTTTTAGGGTTCAGACAACTTAATTGAGTTTTTGTCTTTGCATTTTGTCATTTCTTGAATTTTGCGGTAGATTTAAGATTTTGTTTATTTGCTATAAATAATTCTTAAAAAATTTCGGTTGATTTGGTGCCTTCGATGCATAAGTTTACAGTTTAAATATTGTATTAACTGAAATTTGTGCTCTCTCTCTCTCTCTCTCTCTCTCTCTCTCTCTCTCTCTCAGTTAGAAGGAAGTAAAGATTACGAGAGTGTTTTTAGAGAAATGGAAGAGAATGAGATATGTATAGGACATTCTCTACTTTACGAGTGGTACGCATATTTCCTTGAAGCCAAAGGGAAGTGGAAAGAAGCACAAATCATTTATCGTATGGGCATTTCAAGGTTTTCTTTCCCCTTCCTTATTTGAATTATAACATTATTTTTTTCTTTTTTTTATTGCGATTCATGTTTTGATGACTGATACTTCTATTGTTTTTGGAGAAAAGGAAAGCCGAGCCGATTGAGAAGCTAAAGTGGGCTCAATCCTTATTTGTTAAAAGAATGTCTGAAAGGCTTAATACTTTTTCACTTGGGAAGGTATGCAAAGCCTAACCCTTGAATGCTACCAGCACAGTTGTTATGACTTTAGATGCTTGTGTGCATATACAGTAGGTGCACAATTTGATATTTCTTTTTTGATTTATATACATTTCAAATATTGTGATGAGAGTTCACTATGCATCACCTCGTATCATTTCATGGAAATATCAAGCTAATGCAAAATAATTTCCTCTTATGGTAATTTTGAAATTTTTTGCTCATAAGATGGAGTTTGCATTTTTTTTAGAGTTTCATGGATTCATAGGTGTTCAGTATTTTGAATCTTTTCTAAATGATTTGCTAAGGATTCAACGTCAGCTTTTTCCTTCTTACCCTTTTACGGATGCTTAACTAGGTATCATTCATAAACATTTCACTAATAAAGAGTCATACATTACATCAGAAAGTGTGCTTTGTTTTTGAACTAAAAAGCCTGGCTGGGTAAACCCTTGCTTTCTTCCCATTTAGGTTAATGGAGATGAACAGGTTGAGTTTGGCAAGAAATTTATCAACCCATGGTCTCCCTTCACCGTAGAAGAACTTTTAAAGAAGATACAGCCACAACTCACAAAATATGATGTGAGAGAGTTTGCTTATATTTGTTGCATGTTTCTTCACTTTTTAGTCTTACTACTGGTTAGTCTTATTTTAGCCTCTTTGACATTTATTTCAGGGATACCACCTGAGTAAGAAAGTTTATCCTGGAAAAGTGGCCTTATCTTCTTTGAAGAAATCGTCAAGGAATAAAATTATTGAGATAGGTAATTTTTGTGATGCTGCAATATGGTTCTAGCTTGATGCTTTGAACTCATTTTGTGGTGTGAAAATTTTCTATCCAAAACTCCCAAACCAGATCTACTTGAATAATTAGTGAGATTAAAGGTGAGGATGAGGTTTACAGTAAAATATGAGATCAAATTTGCTGCCAACAATAATATATGTGGTTTTGCTTAACACATTCATTAAGTGACAATATTTGCAAGCAACTTTTTTCACCTTGTAAGGAACTTAATGTATTATTCTTTTACCTCTATTTTCAAAAGGTGGAAGGAAGTATCAGATCAAGGGGTGTGCTGGTCAAGGTGGCTTTGCTCAAGTATTTAAAGCGCATGTTGATAGCAATCCAGATGATGTTGTTGCATTAAAGGTTAATTTTGCCTTCCTTTGGTAAAGATCACAGTTTCACATATTGGACTCTTCTCATATTTGTACAAACTCCTCTCGCAGATACAAAAGCCTGCTTTTCCTTGGGAATTCTACATGTACCGTCAACTTGATGAACGCATATCAGGCAAACAAGTAAAGCAATTGTAGTTGCTTATGATTTTACATCATTATAAATATTTGCTGGTCTGATGAGCTTTTCTGATTTTTCTAATTTCATTGTATCAGAGATCAAGCTTTGGTTTTGCACATAAAATTCATATCTATTCTGATTGTAGCATACTCATATGTGACTATCTATCTCATGGGACACTTCAGGTAGGTTAATGTCCTGCTACAGCTCCAGCCAAACATAAGGGAAAAGGGATGCCTCTCTTACATTTGCTTTTGTGTTGTACAGGATGCCATTAATTCTTATGTTGTCACTGGCAAGTTCATGGAAGAGGTATTGTGTATTTATTACACTTTGGAGATGTTATATATGTTGGAAACTTTGCATAGTGTCGGCATCATTCATGGTGATTTCAAGCCTGATAATCTCCTCATTCGCTATTCTAAGTAAGTGTTGTTTTCCATTTCATTATTATAGATCACGACTGAAGGTTTAGTACAACTTTCTTGTAACTATAGATTGTTACTTGATGTATTGTAAAACATCAACAACTATAATAATGATGTAAAAGGAAAACTAATGACCCTATTGACAATGTATGAACTGTTATTTTCTAGTCTTTGAGTATTAACTCTACCACAATATACATTCCTGATGCTTTATGTGAATGCCATTGCACTTGATTTTATTAAAATGCATTGAGTGGGAGTGGCCTCACGATTCACATGTAATTGGATCAGCGCACTAATGTATAAGCCATTTGCACCTTTTCACCTTTCAAATAATCAAAAATACAGGCAAAACATTTTCAATGCTTATTAGTTATTTTCTCACGTCCAAAGTTGGCTTCAAACTGATTATTAACTTTATTTTAGTTACAATATGAAATTTCATTTAAGTATTTTATTTATTTATTTATTTAAGTTAATTTCGGAGTTTGGCATATAATACATAGATTTCTAATATTTTCAGGGATGACCTCTCAGAAGAAGGGTTTAAAGATCGAGCTGGCCCTTGGCTTGATCAGGTTTACTCTGTGTGGATATAAACTATGGAATTTTATTGTTACCATTCAATTAGACTTTGTACTTAAAAGTTCTATTTAGCAGGGTCTTTACCTTGTTGATTGGGGGAGGGGGATTGATCTGCATCTTTTTCCTGAGAACACAGAATTTACTGGTGATTGTCGAACTTCTGGGTTTCGTTGTATTGAAATGCAACAGAAAAAACCATGGACCTTCCAGGAAAGTCTCCTTTTCTTGAATGATTGCAAAATGGCATCTTTAATTTCACTGGAATGATTACCTTGACCTTGCTGTGTAATTTCTCAACAGACAGATACATATGGCCTATGTGTTGTTGTCCATATGATGCTGTACAACACTTACATGGAGATTGAAAGAAAGGCCTCAGATGGTGACTACATTTATCTACCAAAATCATCTTTTAAACGGTATTGTTTTTTCATTAATACATATCCATTGTAGTTCGGTTCTGGTGCCAATTTCTTAACTTCTTTTGATCCACTGGCTGCGGTCGCGGTGGCATCTCTGAACTTCCATTATATTTTTTGCACAATTGCTTTCAGATACTGGAATATTGACCTATGGAAGGCTCTCTTTACAAAGCTGCTAAATATCAGCCCAGGTAACAATGATGTAGAGTTGTTGCGTAGCTTGAGGAAGTCATTCCTAGATTACATGCATGATAATCCCTCGCTTATAAAGAAACTGAGAGAACTGCTAGCGAAACAACGGGCTACCCTGTGCTCTGCTTAAAGCACCTCTGATCATCGTTGTTATTCACGCAGATGTTTCACGACAGTCTCGTAACTCTCAAACGGATAACAAATTGTTATCTGCAACCAGTTTTAAATGGTGAAATCTCTTGATTTCGCAATATAATATGTATATGTACAGCCATAAATTCGACTGTCAGTTTTGGTGTTGTATTACTGTATCTCTCTGGAGGGTCTTACAAGAGAATTGTTTCAATGATATGTGTATTGTTAAGCTATCCAGTTGAAATTTCTAGGAACGTAATGCTACCTTGTGCTCTTCCCATCTCTTTTTGGTTGATGTATTAGAAATATAAATTCAGTTGAAGTCAGTTTAATTATGATTATTAATGAAGTTGGGGTTTCATTAGAAATATGATTAGGTTTTTTGGGTAAATTTACCATTTGAGGGTGGTGACATTTGCAGGATTTTAATATTGGTCCTTGAGGTGTCAATTAAAAGTTTCAATAGCTTGCAACCACTTTCTCGATTAAGTTGAAAAAAAGTAGGAATGCCATTATTGATTATGCTAGTAATACCCCGTGTGGTTAGAATAATAATACTGTTCAAATTCTATCCACTTTTATGTCACATTCTCAGTTAATATTAGGGGTAAAACAAATTTAATCTTTGAATTTGGCCGCTTTTCAATTTAATCCATATTTTTTTTTGTCCATGATAATTATTATATTAAATAAATTAAAATTGTTAGAAAATAAACTTCAATAAAATGGTGACATGAATCACCATATGATTAGAGGATTAAATTTATTTAACTACAATAAAAATTGAGATAAATTGATAGAAAAGTGCAAGTATTGAGAATAAAAATGTGTAATTATACACTTTTTTTAATTACCACGTTAGCTTATTACTAAATATCAAATTAAAATGTTAATAAGTGGCTTGATTAATATCATTTAAATAGTTAAGTGATTTGATTGACAAAATTACAAGATCAATGGTCAAATTGAAATCTACCCATAATTAAATTGCCATGGGTGTAGGTTACCCATATTTATAGAAAATGGTGTCAATATTAACTAAATACTAAATTCGACTCAATGGTTTAAGTGAACTTTTACATCTTTGGGACGTAAATACAATTATTGTCACTCTTATTTTTATTTTTATTTTTTTATTTTCCTCCAATACAATTTAACTTTTTTTTATATATATATATATATATAATGTTGTTGACTAAATGTTGGATTTGATTCAATGGCTTAAGCTGTCTCTACTGCCTTTGAGACTCTGTTCAATTTTCCTGACATCATTCTTATTATTATTTTTTTCATTTTCCTCTAATTAAATAATAATTTTTATTAATTTTATTAATTTTTTAATTAAAATTAAAATCAAATTAAAAAAATGTATAAGTAATAAAACCTAAATATGTCTATTACACAAATTCATTTAAATGCCACTAAAAGGTTTGATAATTTAGTCACTGATAAAATTTTTAATTCAATATTTAGAATAGAATTGATTAATATCGATAGTTTTGTTTTTCTTTTTAATTATGTACTCATGAAACTTAATACGCGCATAAAATCTTATTAATCTTTAACTTGGGTATCAAAATTAAGCTTCTTCTTCATCAGTCATCAGAATTCACCACACAAGTTCGACGGGAGTGTAATGGAAGCCCGGAAACCTGTCCAGAAGATCAAAGGTTAGCATGGATGCCTTTGGTTTTTGTGGCCGCGGCTACAACTGTCCCGCCGGCAAAGGCGCCGCCGTCGTTCTCTCGTATGTTCCGAGCCACTTGGCCTGCATGTATTTCTGCTTTCTCCACGGAGCCAAGTGCATTTTATTCTCCTTCATGCATTCTTTGGCAGCGGCGCATAAGATCTTGATCGATGCGCTTACCCTCTCTGTTTTTCCGACCAAGAGCTCCGGTAACCGGGCGACCAACTTTTTGTAATCCTCGTTGGCCCTGGCTATTTCAAATTCGGCTCGAAAATTTAACTCGATCACCACCCTCTCCTCTCCCTTATTCGATGATTTATCCAACACTTCCAGATACGTGTGCTCGCAGGAGGGAATTTCAGGGGAGCTCCTCCATTTGGACTTGAATATGTAACAATTGAAACCCGATTTTCGGAGACGAACCGAGAGCTCCCTTTGAAGACAGTTCCGGCAACCACCGGCCCGACAACCGCACTGCTCTATTTCGCTCAATGCTTGTTTTGTAGCTTGTCGAATTCTTGATTCCAGACAAGTAGTTCGGCGCAATGTTGCCTGCAATTTGCAATGCATGAACATTAATTAATCGCCCAATCTTTAAATTCTCCATCCCAACTACATGTTTTTTCTTACTTAAACATGCATGGAACATAGTTTACCTGAAGAACCTGTTGTTGGGCTTCCCAGAAAATCTTGTTCTGTTCAACCTCTTGGTGGTTAACATTTTCATCACGGTCAACCAAATCCCCTGAAGTTTCCTCTGACTCGTTGCTTCCATCCAAGAATCCAAACATCATGTCGGCGAAACTCGCCGCTCCGTCAAGGAACTTGTCGATTTCCTCCGATTTCTGTCGTGTCACCTGCATCTTTTCCATTTCTCCGGCCCCTTTCCTTGTTAGGAGTTTCAGAATTTTAATGAGCTAATGAAATTTATAACAAGTAGCAGATCGAGTTGGGTTGTAGCTGGAACACAGATGCCGAAATGTCATAGGCGGATGTACCAACTGCGATCAAAGAACGTGGCAAGAGATTATCGGATGATGAGTTGGTATATTAAAACCCAAAACTTGGTAATTACGTGCTTAGGTATATTTAATTTTACGATTAACAGTAATAGGTCAATCTAATTAATGCTTATAGGCACTCGAACCTTCAAAATATTTGATAAAAACTACTAATAAATATCACTCTTGTCTAAGGATAGATTAAAGTTTAAACTTAAGAAGTTATATCAAAAAAATTTAAGGATGAGAAACTATAAAATATCAAGAGATTCGAAATTAGATAATTTATACAGGATATAAAAAAATACTTAAAATATAAGAAATTTAAAATTTTTAAAAGATATCCGCACTCCTATACCTCTTAATCTAGCTCTATCTTTATCTTATAATTAAATTATCAGTTTAATATTGATTTAAACTTTTTATCAATTTGTCATTAGTATTATCATATCATTGTTATTTTATTTTATCGTCTTTTCATGTTTAAAAAAAAATAATGTAATTTTATTGTCAAATGATTAAAAATCTTTATAACATATAATATATTGTAATCATCTTAAATTAATAAAAACTTATTATTCGATAAAAAAAATAATTGAACATCTTAAAAACAAAAAATTCAAATAAAACTATAGCATATAAAAAATATAATGAATCAATTTTTAAAAGTTTTTGAACTTTTATATTGTTTTTGAAGAAAATTAAACTATTATAAATTTTGGTTTTTTTAAATAAATTAAGTATAAATATAATATTAGAAAGTATAAATTTAAAACATAAATTATGGATTTTGAGATTTTTTAAATTTTTTAAGGTTTTTCACTTTTTATGATTTCATAAATTTTTATAAATTTGATATTTTTTAAAAAGGTATTATTTATGACAATTTTTAATGATCTTGTGTGACATTTTTAATGAAAATGTAATAAAATAATTGGTAATAGAATATTCAAACTAATAGAATATTGTATAAATATTAAACTGATACTTTAATTACAATATATAGGGAAATTTATATTAAGCCAAAAATATTTTGAATGGGATCGAGAATATAATTAAAAAAAAACATGAAGCTACCTAAATTATTTTTATTTTGGGTGGATTGAAGGAGACAGCTACGATCCACGTCGGATTAGCCAATGAATTGAAAAGAGGGGGAGCAATATGGAAATGGATGGAGATATACTATTAATACCTTTTTTAATCTTATAATTAAAAAATGATCGATTGATGTTCCTTTATAATTATTAGGTTTAATACGAAAATAAGTGATTAATTTTTTTTCTCATTTAGGTACTTAAACTTTTTTTTGTCAATTTAAGTGCCTAACGTTTTTAATGTTATCATTTATATACCTATGATGTAATGGCCGCTTAAAAATCTATTAAAAATAAGTTAACCAATCGGTACAAGTAGCTTGATTTTTTAAATACCAATCGTTAAAAATAAAATTCAATAAATTTTAAAAAAAACCAAGTTTTTCTATTTTTCATAAAAATACTCCAAGACATTCAATTCACTCATCGCCCACCACCACCGTCGGTGACCACTCAATCACTTGCCGACCACTTACTTTTCGACCATTTACACGTTGATTGGGATCAACATGTGTTCGAATTTAGGGTTTAGATTTAGGGAGCATTTAATTCACGGAATGTAAGATTACATTTGGGAATAAAATTATCGGAATGCAACATTACTATGAGAACGTTGTATTACTAAGTTTGGTTTGTTTAGCAGTAATGTAAGATTACAGTATGTTATAGGAATATAAGATTACTTATATGCGTATTTTACCAAAGCATCCTTATCTAGTTATTTTCAACAAATTAAAGTTTAATATTAAATTATAAAAATTTAAATGAAAATTCATAAAAACATTTTAATTGTTACACTATCTAACTTTTGAGAAAATATATATTTAACATATAATTAATATAATTAGTTAAATAAATTTCATAAGTATCATATTTATATATAATATAATATAATATGAAAAAATAATATTATAGTCTAGAGTGAACAAAGATAATATTTTCCAGTGTATGAATTTTTTTAATAACTCAAAGTCAAATATTATATTAAATAATCATATTTTTATAACAAATATTATTGTTTATCTCATAAAATTATAATTAGTTAAAATATTAAAAATATAAAATCATTTTAACTACTCAAATTTATTAATATTTTACTAGATCAAACTCTTTATATATTATTATTATGTTTATAATTTTGAATAAACCACGAAGAATAAGAATTACAAAAGATCCATATGAAAATAATTTATTATTATGGGGTATTCTTATCCAGATTGGTGGTAATTGTGTAATACCTAAGAATTTGGAGGTAATGATATTCTACCATTTTAAGCAAAATATATTACTATTGGTAATAAGTTATTAGCTGGTAATAATCTTTTTCGTAAACCAAACGTGATAATACAATTATGAAAAAGATTATTCCCCTTGATTTTTGCGAATTAAACCATCACTTAGTGATTTGGGGTTTAATAATTTTGGGAGTTTGAAACTACGATTGACGATGGGTGGGTAGGCAGTCGTTGGAAACGACAGTAGTGATGGAAGGTCAACGTGTGGGGTGAATGCTTTGAGATTAAAGATTTGAGGAATTTTTTTTTGAGATTTTTGAAATATTTTATGTTTTTTTAAAAGTAATAAAAATTTTAAGTTTTTAAAAAATAAAAATTATAAAGCGCCACATGTCACATTATGAATGGTTGACAAAACTTTTTAATGTCTGTTACGATAGAGGCACCTAAATAATAACATTGGAAATGTTAAACACCAAAATTGATCAAAAAAAATTATACGCCTAAATAAAAAAAGGTATAATTTGCGCACTTAATTTTATAATAACCCTAATTATTAAAACTTTGGAACAAAAGAAAAATAGTAGAGGTGAAAATTGTTTGGGTAAACTACAAATTTATTACCTACACTACTACTTTTATTCCGTTTTGTACCTAAATTTTATATATTTTTTTCGAAATCATGTCTAACAATTAGTTTAAGTTTCATTTTGGTACTATGTTGTTAAAAGCATAACGAGAATATTGACATGTCCATATGATAATGTCACATTATCATTGAAAATTTGAAAAAATGCCACATCAACAGTTATATTAATTTGTTAACGGTAGGGTTCCAAATTGAAACTTAAACTAAAAGTTAGGCATGATTTTAAAAAAGACTAAAATTTGAATATTAAAACGGAATAAAAGTGATAATTTAGGTACCAAATGTTTAGTTTACCCAAATTAGCTTTGGGTTATCCTAATCCCTAACGGAATGGAAATCCAGAACTGACGCAGAAGTTACCACGTGGCTTTGCTATCCATTTTGGGTGGGACTCCCACCTATCATATTCTTTTCCAAAAAGATGCTAAACCCTAAACTATGTAAAGAATAACCAACATTGAATATTCCAGTTTCTTAGTTATAGGACGAAAATACCCTCTTATACGTATGTATCAACCTAATTTGCTCCTTTTTGAGAGACCAACCACATCCTATTTTCAGTGCTTTATTGTCATTTTCGTATTTGGATCCAAGCAAAACAATGGGCAGAATGTGGTTTGGGCAACTAGTTTGATAAAAGTAAAATAGACCGACACTTTTGTATCTTTGTTATTATATAGCAGCGTCTTTCATTTCTCCTTAAAGAACTCAAGTGATTACATTATTTATTTTACTTTAGTTTAATAAAATGCACTAGTGTATAACCCTATAAAGCCATATCTATCCCAAATCATTTTCTGCCTACTTCTTTAAAGGCACCATTAAGACTATAAAATGCAAGTTTAAGTGCAACTTATCCTATCCAAGGGCCAAGCAACTCTTGGATGACAATCTTTAACATCATGTCAAATAAAATAAATAAATAAATAACCTTAATCTGGAGATTAATAGGGATAGATTGAGCTACGGTCAAGGATCAGGACGGATGCATTTGTTCTCTTAAGAGAGTAGGTGCATTTTCATTATTTAAAAAAATATATATATACACATAAAGTTTTCGATCTTATTTTTATATTTCTGGACCCGTTACTGTCAAGAACAATTGGTGTCTAAAAATTTTAAATTGTTATATGTTTTAGATATTTTATTTATATTTTGTTTTGTTAAAATTTAAAAGTTATTTCTCCTCTTAAATATAAAATTTTAAAATCCAAGGATAATAACAAGTTGACGCAAGATATAAGCAACAATGAACATACACAGAGCCATGGTTGCTCCATAAACTCCTAGTCTTCCATGGGATGTCTGACGTCAACACAGAAAATCCCAGTTCATCCTCCATAATACAAAACCCATTTCCACAATTGCATTGTAAAACTATAAAAGCAGTTAATTTTGGTTCATAAAGATACAGATATGGAATAAAAAAGTACTTAACTTTATGGACTTGTCTGTATAATTGTTGTGGGTGCTGCAGTGACACTTGAGAAGAGTAGAAGAACTTCATTTACTGCTGAAAAAGGAGTAACCAAGGAAAGGATTGGTAGATACATACACCGAATTCTGTGGTTTACATTTTGTTCTTCAATTTCATAGGGGATGATTATATTGATCAAATTAGAGTTTAAGGAGTAAAACTACAACCTACATATAGTAGAGGGACTAAGGATAGATTTGAGTAAAATATGAACTAGCTAAATCTGCGAAAAAGACTTGGGGATTGGAAACGGAAGCATGGAGAGCGGTGCCGTGGTGGTGGTGGAGCTCCAGAGAAAAACGATTTCGCAAAGATAGTAGAAGAGATCGTGAAGCTAAGAAAGAAGATTTTCCCAGAGCATGAAAGAACTAAGAAAGAACAACAGTGGATTGCTTTACAGCATGGATTCTCATGGAGAGGTTGTCGGCTATGTTATGTATATTTGGCCCTCTTCACTTTCTGCTTTCATAGCAGAGCTTGCAGGTTTTTATTTCATTTTTTACCCCCTTTACCGGAGCATGGGCTTCGCCGATAACGTGCTCGATGAAAGTACCAAATCAAATTCATGTTCTCATCTCTTTGTTTATTTACTCTCAAAACAGTGAAGGAGATCGTAGAAGGCAAGGCCATGGGGAGGCATTACTAAAAGCAGCAATTCAGAAGTGCAGGACCAGAAACGTCCATCGGATATCACTCCACGTTGATCCTTTGAGAATTCCTACCATGGGTCTTTACAAGAAGCTTGGTTTCCAAGTTGATAGCTTGATCAAGTGTGGGTAGTAACACTTTCCTTTCCAGTAATCTTTCAATGAATATGCAACGTTGAATTGAAGAACAACCGATTTGGATTTGCTTGTTTGAGTTCATAAAGGTAAACATTTACTGTGCTTATCTTGTATCATTTTCTATTTGTTTTTCAATAAAAACACATTTCTGGAAAAACTCTGTATTGGATGCCTGGATAAACTTGTGCAGTTCCTTGATCCTTTTAACCTCTAACAAAGTAAAACAAGAGGGCTTTGGTAAACATATCCATATGGTTCACCAATGACGGGTTAAAAAATATTTTTGAAGGTGGACACGTATTCGTTAACAACACAAAAATTTTAAATGGAATTAACACAAATAAAATTTCAGGATATACATCATCAATTAAATAGCTAATTAACCGTAATAAATTCGGATTTCATGGTGACCACGTGTCTACCCTAAAAAAGCTGTGGATCCGCCAATGTGGTTTACTGATTATCTTATCATACTAACTAAATTTATTATTTTAATATGATAATGTCAATGTGTTGTTATGGATGCCTTTCCATGGTTCATTTTGTTAATATCTTAGTATATGTAATTTTACATGAAATGATGTATGCATATTTATTTAAGAATGTTATGCTCTTAACCGATCAAGCAAACACAGCAATCTACATATATGCAAGATTGGTGAAGCAACTGCATTCATTACATATATAGTTGAAGATGTGTTTTGGTTGGTAATCTTGTAAGGGAATGTTATTTCTAACTATGTCCCAAAGGAAAAGGATATATAGCCACTCACAGGGTTTCCTTGTGCTAGTTATGTTTTGTTTTATCTTTTCATGTGTGGGTACGGATACAATTCTTTTGCGTAGGTTCTTTGTGGCAGATGGAGTACTTGGTTGTGAATTTTGATCCATTTTAGTTTTGTACATCTCATATTTAACCCAATGGTGAAATTTGTAAAGTTATATTGTATCTTTATTGGATTTTCTCCGTAAGTTTTTTTTGTCACTTCACCAATTGGAATATTTAAAGAAAATTCTCTATTGCTTAAATTCTTTAGATTTTCTAAAAGTTTTCAGAATTTCATACACTTGTTAGTTATAATCAATTAACATGATCATCGGTAAGTCTGTATGATCCGTTACAGTTAAATATATTATATAAAAATCGTATTTATTTATCCTATCAACTTAGAGACAACTATAATGACCTTATTACCAACACCATAAATCAATATAAACCACTATGTATAATTAGAGAAGGGATCTATGAGTTCTCTCTCTGTCTCGAGACCTTTCTTTTTGATATTATATATCATTTTTTTAATTAATCACTAGTATCCGATTTATTGATCGATTAATTCAGATTGGATACTGTAGATGCGAGGGCAACCCTCCCAACCCAGTTTGCTCAATTCGCAAACGCCAATATTCGAATTATTGACTTTACTTAAGGGATTTAATGCATCGTCCCACTATACTTTTACCTAGTGCCAGGATTCGAAAACGTGAGGATTCTTTTTGATATCATGTATCATCTTTTTTAATTCACTAGAATTATCATTACATTTTTTTGTCAAAATAAAAAAATAAACCTTAAAAGATGTCACAATCATAATTTTTCCATTAATATGTTTAATTTAATATTGATTCAATTATAAATAAATAATTTAATTATTTTAAATCATAATAATTAATTTAGTTTAATCATTTCGGATTTTGACCCCTCCATACTGTTTTTCCATTTTCTTTTTTTTTTACTGAAAGTTTAATATAAAAAAATATACAGATTAATGACAGAACCAGAATAATAATTAATTTCTGTTGTAACTGAAATCTATTCAGTTGAGCTAGTCAGTTGGGCTGGTTAGTTAGTCTTAGATATTATATATAGTGGGCCTGTCCACTATTCATAATCCATGAGAATACTTGTATTTTTCAGAATTCTGTATGCTTAACTACTCTTCTGTTGACTTTAGTAAACAACGTCTATGGCTTTCAATCTTGCTTCTCACTTGCCCTTCCAGTTTATCATAGCTAGCTTACTGTAACTACTCTGTTAGTTTCCTGTCATTTGCCTGTGGCAGCTCCACACCAATTGCAAGTTTGCAACTAAGACCTAATCGTTTCAATAATAAAATTCTAAACTCCCACAGCTGAAGCTTTTGGGCCTTTTGGGAGAAGAAAAGAAAAAACAATGGCGGATCATTTCTTCCCGAACGTATTGCCGGACTTCGTAGCCGAAACAACACACCACGAAGAAGAAACGGAAGATACTCTGATCAAACTCCTATCCATGCCTTACTCTTCTCTCTCTCAACATTTCAAACGCACCGCTCTGGACCTCAAACAGACCGTTGCTCTCTCTCCCTTTCTTTCTCCTGTTTCCTCTGCTTTTTTTTTTTTGCTTCAACCTCACCAATGTTTACGTTATTGACGCAGATAGCACTGGAAACGTGGGGGGTAACCGCACAAAATGTCTCCGATTTTACTCTCTATTGTGTCACTCTCGGTACAGCTTTCTTGCTCTTAAAATCATATCGACTTACCAACTACGCCAACGATCTATACCTCTGCTTGGTAATGGTTGATGCTTGCAATTCCGCTTCCTTATCTTCTCGGTACACCAATCACTTTCTTCCTTTGTTTTTACTTAAATTGAGTCATATCAGTTCACACATCAAATCAATTTTGCTCTTTTTGCTTCCATACTTAAATTGGGTCATATCCAGTTTATAGATATATACATGTAAAAATAGGGATGTAACCTTTTTATGTGGTTGAGCTGGTGTTTGTGCTCTTGGTGCTGTAGCCGCTAGCTGTGCTGGAAATCAAGAATTGGTTGATCATTACTTAACTCAGTTTAGATAGGTATTCTGCTGATGATTTTTTAAACTTCATGGCGGTTTGTTTTTATTTTTTATTTGAATTGTAATTTCTATGATTAAATGAAACAGATTAAGCTCTCAAAGAATCTCCCTGATGAGTTGTTGTATGGAAGAGCTGGGTATTTATGGGCTTGCTTGTTCTTAAACAAACATCTCGGTGAAGGGACTATCCCTTCTAAAACTAAAGTAAGTATATATATGTTAGTGATGTATCATCTGTAAAGGAGGGTTGATCAGAAGTGAAAATTTTGGGGTTTTTTTTTATTGTGCAGCGTGCAGTTATTGATGAAATTATCAAGAATGGAAGGACCTTAGGGCAGAAGGGAGGAGGAAGTCCTTTAATGTTTGAATGGTATGGAGAAAAGTATTGGGGTGCTGCACATGGATTGGCGGGTATCATGCATGTGTTAATGGACGTGGAGTTGAAGCCCGATGAGGCCGAGGATGTAAAAAGCACTCTTAGATACATGATTAGGAATCGATTCCCGAGTGGGAACTACCCTGCAAGTGAACAAGATAGAAAGTATGATGTTCTTGTCCATTGGTGCCATGGAGCCCCTGGGATTGCCCTCACTCTTGTTAAGGCCGCTGAGGTATTACAATTTATCAAGTTTAGTTCAAAGCTCTTGTGAAAACTATATTTGAATGAATTCAAAGTGTTTTGATGTTCCCCAAGGGACAAATCAGTAGATTATTGCTGTGTTTGATAGTGAAAGTATTCCTACAAAGAGGTTTATGTGTTTGCAAAAGCATGTACTTAATTCAGGTTTTTTATTTACATTGTCTCTACTAGAGACAATGTAAATAAGGCATAGCCTCTTAGAATTGCTAGAATTGTTTGAGTTACTTCCATTGGTAAATATTAAGCATTAATGGATTCACCAGACTCGGTATTGCTTGAATGGAATTCATATACTTTAATTTCAATACCTAGTAATTCTTTCTTGGAGGATTTGCTACTAAAAGAATTAAAATTAGCACCAGAGGGGAAAAAAAACAATTTATGAACTGTGAAAGAATTAGAATTTTATTAGAATTTCTGTGTTCTTTAGGTATTTGGAGATGATGAATTTCTGGAGGCAGCAATGGGTGCAGCAGAGGTAGTGTGGAACCGTGGGTTACTGAAGGAATTTGCCATGGCATCAGTGGGAATGCTTATGTTTTCCTCTCACTTTACCGAAAAACAGGCAATGTAAAGTTCTTATATAGGGCAAAAGCATTTGCAAGCTTTTTGCTTGATCAAGCTCACAAGCTTATATCCAAGGGAGAGATGCACGGAGGTGATAGCCCGTATTCCCTGTTTGAAGGGATTGGAGGTATGGTATACCTTTTCCTAGACATGATTGATCCCATAGGCTCCAGATTCCCTGCATATGAACTCTAATTTGTAAACTAGTATGGTAAATCAGTAGGTATTGCTCGTCTACTTTCCTGGAATACATATGCGTTTCGGATGATTTACAGTATATCTTAGCTAAGCCTCACCAACACCCCCCGGGCTATTATACCTCAAATACTAACATGAGTTGCCGACGCTTCTCATCTCTCTTTACAGTTGAGGCATGATCACCAATTCGTTTATTCCTGAAAAAATAGCATTGAATATGTAAATGCAATAGTTCATCATGGAAGGGAAGTGGATGCCTAAACATGAACTTCATTACCATTAATCAAATTTTCAGTTCCTTGGTTTAAAAGGAAATGTTCGGTGGACGCAAAACATTCTTCCTCTAGAGCAAGTCTTTTTACCTTAGGAGTATTGGTCGATGAATTAGAGTCTGCATCTTCAGTTATACGTGCTTCTGATTTCTCGTTAGAATAACTTCAAGAAGAAAAACATTCAGCCTGCGTTAGAGAGATATTACAATCCAATCAAACATAACATGCATTGAGCGAAACAGAAAACCCGGCAATTTTTGCAGCACACTTCTTCAAAACATAATACCAAGGAACCCTGTCATGTTATATGTCAAGCTAGTATGTAACATTGTCATGTAAATAGATTTTTCAAAAGAGAGAAACAGCTCAACAATTATGAAAGGATTAATGAGAAAAGGATAAAAATTTAGAGGACTGGATAGCATATGATCCTGGTTCTGCAACTTGGTTGTTAAGAATGCAGGAAACGGAATTAAGACAGGAAATAGAGTGAAGAATGCCGCATGAACACCCTATTAAGCAAGATGACAGAGATACTTACGTTGACAGTATGGTTACCCAGATAAGCTCCACACAATCAACCCAAAGAAGCCTTTGTTCAACAGGTATCACACCATAGGTGATCAAATGAGCAAATGGCCAAAGTTTCCAACCTGCCTGTAAAGTGTTGTGTGATTTATCAGCAAAAATCGGAGAACTTGTGGGATTCGACTATTGGTTTCAAAAGCGCTGAGGGTTTATGTCCGGCGACACTGTTCACAGCGGCCATGGATCCGAGTTTCAGCGGAGTAGGATAATATTCGAAGTTGGATATTATTGAAATGCCATAAACATGAATTATTGGTTTATTGAAGATGTTTATGATTAATGTTTAGGGTAACATCGCATTATCAAAATGAATGAATGAATGAATGAATGAGCCTAAAATACGTGTGAGCTGATCTTCCTCTCCTTTTTTTCAGAAATTATCACTTTGCACAGTCTCTTCTATATTTTGTTAGGTTGAATGGTTAATTATATGTTGATATGTTTATTATACTGAATATTTTAAAAAAGAAATTTAATCTAAATACACGTGTAGATTATATTATTCAAATCCAAGTCACTAAGAAAAAATATATTTCCTTCTAACTACGAGAATCATTCCCATGGTTCTATTATACTAAATTCTTTAATATTATATATATTTTTAAATTTTATACATGAAATATTTTTTGGGGTACATTTATACATGAAATTTGACGTGTTAACAATAAGTCAGTCAAATATTGGTACGTGAGATTTTTAAAATAACATTTATCTACTTAAGATATAATAAAATTAATCCTTAATGTTTCACTAGTTTTCAATTTCGTCCTTAATTACTATACATTATCAACCTCATTATTTTGAAATTGTTCAAACAAATCCTTCTAATTCTTTATATTCCTAAGGCATAATAACAAAAATAGTCCTCAATGTTCCATTGATTTTTCAGTTACGCCCTTAACTTTTTTTAAAATTTAACCTCAATATTTCAAAAATTTTCAAATACGTCATTTTATTCTTTATATTCTTCAGGTATAATACTAAAATTAGTCCTAATATTTCATTATTTTTTCAATTTTGCCCTTAATTTTTTAAAAATGAGATGGCTAATTTATAAATTTTCATCCTAAAATTATTAAGGATTCATTTTTATTCTAAAATTTTTTAGGACTGATTTTTATAGTCCCTATTTTATCCTAAATCTCTAACTTTTTCCCTCCATCTATCGTTGCCGAGTTACCCCACCTAGCTGTTCTTCGTCGTCGATGAGCCATTTGACATCCATAGTCGAAGGCAAGAATATGAATGATAATTACATATTTGCTTCCCCAATTATTGCCACCACGATCGTCGATCGTAACCCTTGCTATGAGGAATAGAAGACGACCACCGGAGCTGCAAAGGTAACCAACAATGTACAGGGATGTTCAAACGGTTAAATTGGTTAACTGACCGAATTGAACTTTCAAAAATTCATTAACCGTTTTTTATTTTAATTGTTAATTGAACCGAAATTTTTTCAAAAAATTTAACCGAACAGAATAAAATTCGGTTAACAAGTCGATTAACCGAATTAACAACTTTTTTTAAATAATATATATTATATATCATATATTTAATATTTTTAATTATTTCGGTTAATCGGATCGGTTAATTCGGTTAAAACCAAAGTTTAAACATTCCTAAGGCTAAGTAATGTATAAATAATATATTAAATATTTAATAATTTTGATTAATTAACCGATTTCGAACCAAATTAACCAATAATCAAAATTTAAAAAATCCTTAATCGTTAACCGATTTTTAGGGTAATTTTAAAAAATTAAAAATTATTAAAGAAAAAAACAACTTTGAGACTTGACGTTGCTATTTTAATTGATAGTCGTTATTTGTCGGTTTGGGTTCTAGTTATTTGGCCTATAACATGACAAGGGAGACGATAACAACGATGGTCGATAGGAGAGATGGTAAGGAGGAATAGAATTAAAGTCAGGAATTTGAGTTTTTATAATTTTAAAGAAATTAGAGTTTTTTTAAATATAATAATATTTTAAAACTTTTTTGAAATAAAAAGTTGTTTTTTTTTTGGATAAGTAAAGATTTTATTCATCCAAAAGGAGCAGCAAGCTGCTACAAAGAACAATATAACACTAAGACAAATCCCAATCTAGACATAGCCTCCTATTTACATCATCAATCAAGTTCATACTGCATCTATACAATTTAATTCTTATAGAATCTCTAATTTTATGAACAATTGCATCAACCGAACGATTAACACCTCTAAACAGCCTATGACTATGATTACGTTCCTCCCAAAGAAAATAGACAAAATCAGTCCAAACAAGCTTTAGGATACAAACAAGAAGGGATTTACCCCTCAAATTCAAGGCCAGCCAGTGCAAAGAATCATCCCAGTAAAGAATCGGCTGGTTATGAAGACCACAAGTCTGCAAGATTACAACTCAAACCTCTCGGGCGAAAGAACATTCTAAAAACAAGTGATTCCGAGATTCCAGCTCAACTCCACACAGACCACAGATATGATCAACCTGAATTCCAAATCTGGCTAACCTATCCTTTGTAGGAAGCCTATCCAGAATCACCATCCAAGCCACAATGGAAAATTTTGGGACATGAGCAGGAAACCAAATCAATTTGTTCCATTCAACCTTGTCCCTCCTCTCACGGATATGGTCCCATGTCCATGCACCTCTAGTCTGAGACAAAACAACAGCAAAACCAAAAAGTCCCCAAGCCTCCTCCCTCATTCTCACCAACTTTCTTAGGATCCAGCTAAAATGAGGCTTACAGTCAACTGTCCAAAAATCCATAGCCTTGAAACAATAAGATTTGAGCCAAGCAATCCACAAAGAGCCCTCATCAGCTAGAATTTTCCTGATGAGCATGAAGCAGCATGCCCTACTCCAGTCAGAAAGTTTCCTCAAGCCCAGACCACCCTCTGATCTTAAAGAACAAACCTGACTCCAACTCACTCTAGCCCCTCTAGCTGAAATATCACAACCTTTCCAAAAAAACCTCATGCATAATTTTTCAACATCTCTGATAACCCCTCTGGGCAAGACCAGCTACCTGCTCCAATAGCCAAAGATACTAAACAGAACCGACTTAACCAACTGTAGCCTCCCCCCAAAGCTTAAGTGCTTGCTCGACCATTTATCAATTTTATCCTTGAAATAAAAAATTGTCTAAACGTATCACATATCAAATAACGAAAATTTTAATATTTATTATAGTCGAAACACTTAAAATAATAACGCTGATAACATACCTATCTTAAATAAAAAAAAGTTTAAATACCTGAATGGAAAAGTAATTATAATTTGGGTAAATTATATATATATATTAAGCCCTATAAATTGCAGCAAATGGGGAAGCAACTTTTATCGCTTTGAATTTGATGGCATAATTATGAACTTGGAGGGAAACTGGGCTATGGAGCCAAGCTGTCAGACTCGGCTGTCTTTGGTCCCCTGCCACATTCTTCTCCAATGAAGAATCTCTATCTCAAAATGATAACACCATCACTTGTGGTCTATATGACTTCGTACGAATTTACGACGTCGGAGCTCCTGCAACAATCGGTGGTTTTTTGAGGTTTCAGTTAGGGACAAAGACTTTAGCTAGGATAAGTAGCCCATAATAATCATGAAAATGAGCTTTTCAACCGTGAGCTCCTTGCCTTTTCTTCATTTCTGATTCCGAGAGAGACACAGAAACAACCACAAGACGCTAGAGCCATAAATATTACTCTTTGTTTGTTTGTTTGATGGTTTTAGAATCCTCGTTCGCAGCTTGATGGAACCACCTCAAGCTAGTAATGGCAACGGCAACGGCAATGGAGGGCACGAGTACGACATTATTAGTTGGTTCGATACAGTTTCGAAGAACGCTGCCGCCGTTCAGAGGGAAACACCCGGCCGGATTCTTCATCTGAACTATGGTGTCGAGTACCTGAAAAAATGGTTTGGGCCCGGGAACATGAAAATCCAAGGCATGGATTCATGTGCATTGGAATCTCTTTACGCCTCTTTAGTCCCTTTAGCCTCCCATGTAGATTTTGAGCCTTTTATCCAACGAATTGCAGACGGGGACACTGCTCCTATTCTCACACAACAACCTATTACCACTCTCTCTCTAAGGTACGTACATCATTTTTTTTATAGTTTTCATTGTCTCTCTTGTAATGTTTTACTCATGGCGTTTATCTAATTTGAAGCTCCGGCACCACAGAAGGGCGGCAAAAGCTGGTACCCTTTACTCGCCATAGCTCCCAGACCACTTTGCAGATTTTTAGGTTAGCAGCAGCTTATAGGTCAAGGTATTTAATTTCATGGTTTCAGTCGTCAGTATACTTTTACTTGTGCTTTTTAATTATGTCAGCAATTGATAAATGAAGTTGCTTTCCTATTGGTTGCGTGCTGATTCTTTTTATTATTTGTAAAGAGTTTATCCAAATAGAGAGGGTGGAAGAATCCTGGAGTTCATATATAGTAGTAAACATTCAAAACAAAGGGTGGGTTAACAGTGGGAACAGCAACAGCCCATTATTATGCTAGTGAAGAATTCAAAATCAAACAACAAAAGACCAAGTGTTTCACTTGCAGTCCACATGAAGTGATTTCCGGCGGGGACTATAAACAATCCACTTACTGTCATCTCTTGCTCGGCCTCTTCTTCTCCGATCAAGTCGCGTTCATCGCCTCGACCTTTGCTTATAGCACAGTCCAGGCCTTTTCCTGTTTTGAAGATCAATGGGGCGAGCTATGCAGTGATATCAAGGACGGGACTCTGAGCTCGACGATAACACTGCCTCGGATGCGAAAAGCCGTGCTGGATATCATTTCCTCGAACCCAAACCCGTGTTTAGCATCACAGATCAAAGCGATTTGCAGCGAGTATAGAACTTCAAACTGGTACGGCATCATCCCTAAGTTATGGCCAAATGCAAAGTATGTTTATTCTATCATGACCGGCTCGATGCAACCCTACTTGAAAAAGCTTAGGCATTATGCGGCTTCGTTGCCGCTGGTGAGTGCTGATTACGGCTCTACCGAGGGCTGGATTGGGGTGAATCTTGATCCTTGTTTGAATCCCGAGGATGTCACTTTTACCGTGATGCCTACTTTCGCTTATTTCGAGTTCAT